ACCACACAATTCAATAAAAACACTGGCAGAAGATCTGAACAGACATTTTTCCAAAGCAGACACAAAGATACTGGTACATAAAAAGTTGTTTAATGTCACTCACTACCGGGTAAACATGAATCAAGACTACAATGAGATATCACCTAACATCTAGGAGAATGATTATAATCTAAAACACAAGTAACAGCAAGTGTTGGAGTGGATGTGGAGAAAATGAACCCTACTATTGGTGGGAGTGTAAATTGGTGTAGTCACTGCAAGAACACTATGGAGTATTCTAAAAAAATTAAAAATAGAACGATGATATGATCCAAAAATTCCACTTCTGGGTATTTATTCAAAGAAACAAAATAAGCATCTAGATAACATATAAGTACCTCTACGTTCAATGAAGCATGAAGCATTATTTACAATAGCCAAGATATGGCAGAAAACTAAACATTCAAAATGGATGAATGGGTAAAGAAGTTGTGATATACGTGGTATATACACACACATATATGTGTACATGTATATACACACACATACATATATACATACACACAATGGAGTATCATTGAACCATAAGAAAAAAATCTTTCAATTTGCAACATCAATGGAACTTGAGGGGATTAGGCTAGGTGAAGTAAGTGAAAAAGACAAAGACACAGTCTGTAAGATCTCATGTATCTATGGAATCTTCAAGGGAAAAAAAAAAAACAAATACAAAGCTCATGGATACTGAGAACAGACAAATGATTATCAGAGATAGGAAAAGCATGCAGGTGTGTGGGAGGGAATGTTGAACAGGTATGGTAGAGGGGTTTAAATGTACAAACTCCCAACTATAAAGTAAGTCATGGGGATATAATATACAGCATGGGGGCCATAGTTAATAATGCCAAAAAGAGTAAATCTTAAAAGTTTTCATCTGTAACTATCTATAGTGATGAATATTAACTAAAGTTATTGTAGTGGTCATTTTGAAATATATACATCAATTACATCTAAAAAAAGAATACAAAGCAAATCCAGTTTTATACTATTTACATATGAAACACCTATAAATACATAAAAATTGAATATCAAAGGATAGATAAAAATAAATGAATATGGGCCTCCCTGGTGGCGCAGCAGTTGAGTGCTGGGTTGAGAAGCTGCCCGCAGCCTCTGCAGCACCAATTCGATCCCCGGCTGCTCCCCGGCCACTGGAGGAGGGTCCCACATGGCACGCAGACCTCTCCTGCAGCCCACTGCTCCCCTCAGCAGTGTACTTCGGTCCTTCTGCCTGCTCTGCTCCCTGCTCTGGCTCTGGTGAATTCTCTCACCCTCCCGTGCTTCTGACTGTATCCAGTGCTTGTATAAATAAATAAATAAATCTTTTAAAAAATAAATAAATAAATATATTGATATAAGAAAAAAACCCACAAAGGATCAAAAAAAGCATTGCAAGTGAGAAATAAAATCACTACATATAATGGTTCATTTTCAAAAATCTTAATAATTCTGAGTTACATGCACCTAAAACAATATCTGAAAATATAAAACAAAAATCTAGGTACCTAACAAGGAAAAATGACATATCTACCATCATAGTGGGAACTTTTCGCACAAATCTCCTTAGTCAATAAATCAGGCTGATGAAACCAATAAGTACACAGAAGATTTGAACAGTTCAGTTAACAATTTACTAGACAAGTTCTACTGGACAAGAATAGAACACTTCACCAACAATAGGGAATATATTTCTTTAGCTACACAGGGGATATTTATAAAATTTGATTACATGCCAAGCCAAAAATTCGACTCCAATACTTCTCTGATTACAAATAATTAGACTAGAATTCAATAATAAAAGAATAATTTGAAAGACTAATATGTTTTTAAATTGGAAAATGCATTTTTAAATAACTCATTGATCAAACAAATTATAGCATATTAGAAAATTATTTCTGAGAAATAGCAAAAAATTACAATTATGAGATATTTCTAATACTTGTTGAATGCAGTAGTAGAGAAAGGTACTTAGAAGAAATGTATGCCTTGGGGACTTCCTGGTAGCACAGGCGGTTGAGTGCAGTGCTGTGAAGCAGTCCGCAGCCTCTGCATTGCGGGTTGGATCCCTGCCAGCCTCGGAGCAACCCACATGGCGAGCAGACCTCTCCTGTCTCCCCCGCTGCTCCCCTCAGCAGTGTATTTCATCAGTCTACCTGTTCTGTTTCCTGCTCTGTCTCTGGTGAATCCTCTCACCCTCCCACACATCTGGCCTGTACCCCAGCTCTTGTATAAATAAAATAAATTTTTAAAAAAATGTATTGCCTTCCTTATCACATCTATTAGAAAAACGAATGCCTCAAGTTAATGGGCTAAATAAGTTTAATAAGTTTTATTAAAAAAACTCAAAAGAGGAAATACTGGAGTATATGAGTTGAGGTAAAATAGAAAAACATAGGAAACCCCACCCAACAAAGTCAAAAAGTAGTTCTCTTAAAAGACTAGTAAAATAGAAATTGCTCTAGGAAGAAGAGCAAGGAAACAGAAGACACACACACACACACACACACACACACACACACACAAAAAAAAAAAAAAAAAAACCAGAAATGTTAAAAGAGAGGCCTAAGTATAATTATCTTAGAGATGCAAATGAAAGAGAATTTTATGACATTAAAATTGATATTAAAGACATAGGTAAATTCTTTGGGAAAAAATCTACTTCCAAAAATGGATTTCATAATAATTAGAACTCTAAAATAGTACTATAACCGTTAAAAAAGTCCAATCAATAGTTAGGGAATCTTTTCCCCTCTTCCTCCAAACAAATCCAGATAGAACTAGATTTCTATACAGGTTTTCATCAAACAGTCATGGGACATATCTTTCCAAACTTACATAAATCTCTCCGAAAAAAAAAAAAATAATACTCCTAACTTAAGTGCTGTGTCTAACTCAGTCTTGATATCAAAAGTAGAAAAAAGTAGTATAAGGGGAGTAAACTTCAGGCCATTCTTACTCATGAACACACACACACACATACACACGCACAGACAGAGCAAACCAAACCATCAATGTAAATGAAAGATAATTCATCAAGACCAAGTATGTTTATTTTGGACATACAAGATTAGATTGATGTGGAAATATTAACTATTATTAAACAGATTAACATAGAAAAGGAGAAATATAATGTGAACTTCTGAATGAAAGCATAAAAAAAATTGAATGAATTTCAACATTGAATGAATTTCAACATAAGAAAAATTTCCAGTGAATTTGGAGTGAAAAGGGAACTTCCTTAATAGTTAACAGTGACCTGTTAACAAATATTAAGCAATAGCGAAATGGTTACAGCCTCTCTTTTGAGATAAGGAGTAAACAAGGAGGTTTGATATCACCCTTTCAGGGAATAATGTATTTGATGTTGGAGTCATGTAGTAAGAATAAAAGCCACAAAAGACATACATATTGGGGACCTCCCCTGGTGGCACAGCAGTTGAGCGCCGCGCTGCGAAGCTGCCGAAGCCTCTGCAGCGCCGGTTCCATCCCCGGCCACCAGCAAGGGTCCCACATGGAGCACAGACCTCTCCTGCTGCTCCCGCTGCTCCCCTCAGCAGTGTATTTCATCAGTCTGCCTGTTTTGTTCCCTGCTCTGGCTCTGGTGAATTCTCTCACCCTCCTACACTCCTGACTGTACCCAGTGCTTGTATAAATAAATAAATAAATAAATCTTAAAAAAAAAAAGATACATATTGGGAAGGAATAAATGAAACCATCATTATTTTTCAGGTGATATGATTTTTAAAAATTCTAAGAGAATATATAAATAAATAATCAGAATACAGAAGTTAGCAAAGATTACTGAACACGAAAATCAACATCTATAAGTAAACGGTATTCTATACAAAAAGAGAACAGGTTAGATAATAATAGTTTTTAAAATTTGACTATTTGCAATAGTAACAATATAAGTAGCTAGGTATAACTTTAACAACTATGTCCTGGCCCCTGTATGGAAAAATTATGAAATTTTATTGGCAGATATGTAAAAAGATGAAAATAAATGAAGGATTATATATTGTTCTTGAGTTGAATGATTTCTTAAATTTATTAAAATATTTAGACAAATTCAAAAAATCTCAAGTAGGGATTTTGTATAATTTGACAAGCCAATTCCAAAAATTTACAGGGAAAAAAACAAGAGTGAGATAGTTAAGAAACTTCTGAAATATGACAGGAGATACTTGGTAGTTGTACTACCACTTCTTAGATTTTAAAAATAAAGTTATAGTAATAAAAGTAATGTAGTATTAGTTCATGTATAAACAGATAAATGAAATAGAATAGCCAGTCTAGAAAGAGACTCATACATACATGAAAAATTGACTTACAACAGAGCAGACATAATAGAAAATAGATTATTCAATAAATGGATCTGAGAAAATGAATCATTCATGCAAAACATTCAATTGGAATCCTATCTTCAAGTATGTACAATAGCTAATTCCAGGTAGATTAAAGACTTAATTGTAGAAGTAAAACTATATAGAACTTATAAATATATATTTATTATATATTTATAAATTTATTTTATAAAATGTATTATAACTTTATAAATATATGGATATTTTATATCATATATGTTTTATATAATTTAATGTATTTACTCACATGTATAAAATTTACTCACATATATAAAATTATATAAAACACATGATATAAAATATATAGCATATAGCATATATTAATATATATTTGAAAATATATGAGTTTTTTGGTGACTATGGAGATAAAGATTTCTTAAATAGATTTAAAAAGGCATAAACCCATAAGGAAAAGAGTCAATAAATTCACTTATAATAGTAAGGACCTCTGTTATCAATCAGTATCATAAGAACCAAAATCATAAGAACCAAAACTAGGATAAAATAATTTCAAAATATATGACAATATCCTAGAAAGCCAAATGTAATGGAATCTTATAAGTTATTATGAAACATAAGAATAACTCAAAATGGGTAAAAAATATTTAACAGAGAAGGAAGAACAATTACTCATGAATATATAGAAATGTGCTTAATAGTGTTCAGGTAAATGGAAATGAAAAGCATAATAACGTAAGTTCATACGTACTAAATTGGAAATAAATTTCAGATAATATTACATGTTAGTGAGGCTGTAACACAATGAAATTTTTTATCATCTGCCGATGTAGATGTAAATTTGGACAATCATTTCAAAAATCACTGACGTATTTCCTAGTGAAGTTGAACAAGTGCATATCCTATTTCTAGGCAATTCTACTTTGATATCTTAGAGAAACTTATATTTTTATTTATGTGCATTAGATTGGTACTTCCCAAACATAATGCCAAATGTCGACACAATCTTGTTAAAATGTATATTTTTGATCTAGCAGGTCTGGAAGGAGGTCTGAGATTCTGAACTTCTAAAAAGTTCCCAGTTAATACCAGGGCTACTCAGAGTCTCAGTCACAAGGTACTATATTTTGCAAGCAAATACCACATTTACAGTCATAAAAAAGAAAATACAGTCATAAAATAAAATAACTCAAAGTAGTAACAATGCAAGAACTAAAGATTCTTGTTTAAACATGGGTAAGTCTCAAAAATATTTAGTGAAACAAGCAAATCATACCATATGATGCAATTTAAATAACATTCTAAACACGACAGAACTAAACAGCTTACTTCAGTCAGTTACTGTTGGCAAAACACTAAACAAAACAAAGCAAATTTATTATACAATATTCAGGATAGTGATTCATACTTTTCCTCTTGGGAGAGGAATACGATGTGATGGATAGGGGCATGAAGCAGATTCTAAGGTACTGGTAATGCTCTATGTCCTGACTTATACAAATAGATACACAGGTATTGGCCTCATTTTATTCTTTAAAATTTTTGTATGTGATAGATATGAATATTTTAATATTTGTAACAGAGAAACACTTAATTTCCATTGAGTTTTCTCCTTTGGGCTAACAGCCATTCTGGGTATGTGTTGCTCCTGTTTTTGCTTTCCTGGTTGTTGGAGTATCATTTAATGAGGTTGAAATCTAAGCCCCCACCCCTTGCCTAGCAGGATGGTTTGGGATAAAGGGAATTGATAAGGTTGCTATGGGAACCAGGCCATATGACAGATCACTTTGTCTGGAATGCAGAAGCTGGGCAAGGACACAGTCTGTTCAAAGGTGAACACCCATGACCTGACATTCCAGGACTAAATGGACCAAACGCACTCCCCAATCATGAAAAAACAACGTAAAACAGGTTATAATAGGGAGCCCCAAATCCCTCTTCATGCACAAACTTCTATCTTGCCCACTGCTTCTCTTAGCAGTGTATCAATAAATCTTTCTTTCCCTGTTCCCACTGTCTCTGGTGAATTCTTTCATTCCCACCCTTGTAGCCTACACCCCAATTCTTTCCCACCACACTGGAGGGATCATATCTGGATTGGGGTAGTCTGAAGGCCTCTCTTTTACCAGTTCTTGAGACTCAGCATGTGTGAGTGAAATCAGAAATTCATGAAACTGGCTACAAATACTTTCTTGGCAGATTGTCTCTAATGATTCTCAGTCTCTCAGGGAAGTAGACATTAGCGCAGTTGACCACAGAAGCAGGTTCTATTCTCCAATAAAGAAATACCAGTAACTTTTATCCCCAAATTTTCCCTTATCTATGTCTCAACTAGTTCAGAACTTCAGAGGGGAGGCTGGTGATTAGCATCTCTGAAACTTCCAATAAGGATACAAGTCTGCCAGTTTCATAAATAGCAGAGACCCAATGCTTGATTCTTGATCAGATTCTGGGGAGGTAACAGTAATTTGGAGAGGAATAGCTAAATGAGTAGCCTGGAGGAATTGATGAAATTTAGTTATCAGCACTTTCAATCCTGAAATTGAAGATAAAATGCAGAGCCATGTGATATAAAGGGACCATCATGTGAAATGGAACATAAAAGTATCAGTAACAGCTACCCTTTACTAAAGACATGCGTATTCCAATTAAGTTCGACCTGCATCATATGCTGGTCCTCAGTAAGTCACTGTATCCCATGAAGGGAGGGGTTGTAGTGTTAGTACCATATAAATCACATGAAATTAACAATTTCATCAAAGAATAGTGGAGGCATGGGTCCTCCCAAAAGAAGGGATGTTAGGTAAATAGAAAGAAATACATACATTACAATCAGCTGGAGATCAAGGACCATATAAAACAATTCTTTGTATCTTAAACAGAACTCAGGACAATGATTCTAGAAAATATTCTGCTTCATTGACACTTTAAACACTTTCCAATTTCATAATTAAATGACTTTATAATACAGCTAATTATTTTTCTTATGATGGCTTTCTTTTCTTAGTATTATTCATTCACACTCAAAATGGGTTGAAGAGCTATAATAACAGCTCTTCTAGAATATAATGGAAATAAAAGAATCCAATAACCTGAAAAACCAGAGTTGAATCCCAAAGGTATCTTTAAATAGCTTTTTGTTTTTGTACAAATTATTTTCACCTATCCAGACTTACATTTCCTTATTTACAAAATATTTATGCTGTTACTATGAAAATAGAGCAATAATAAACATAAAGTGTAAACATGTGATGAAGTAACTTTTCAAATAGTAGTTGCTATTATTTATATTGTTTGTTCTTCAATATTAGTTTGGGAGTATATCTGAGGATATCTTCATTGGTAAATGAAAACTTATATGGAAACAATGTTATCATCTATTTGTGGTTAATTAAAAGCTAATGCTAAATAGTCTTTAAAAATACTAGTTACCTTTATATTCAATATTGTATTACTTACGTAACATGATAATACCACAGAAAGCAAATATAAGAGTTGGCTATAGATAAGTAGCGTTCTTCTTCTACATCCTAATAGAAAATGCAAAAAAATAAGAGATATATGAGCTTTCATGTAAATACAAATTTGAATACAGGCATAGAAGTCACAGAAGCACTAAGTTATTTATCTAACAATAGAAGAAGTATAAATTTCAAAATGAAATTAATAAATATGCATTTAATACCAGTTTAGCGACTCTCTATGATTAAGAATATACTATCAGAATGGCAAATTTAGATGACTTGGTAACCTTACTTACATACCTATTTCCTTCCAATATGTGGGCCTTGAATCAAGTTCCTGATCTAGAACTTGCAAATACCTTAGAATTTCTTGGGTGAAAGGAGTGTCTTTTGTCCTAATAAGGAAATTTTTGGTCAGGCCCTGGATGGAGGTTGGTCACTACAAAGACCAAGCCACACTACAAGTTTGGGACTTTCAATATCACTGCTCTACTCTCCAGAATAGGGAGAAAATGAGTTTTAATTAATCATGTCTATATGATGACGTCTCCATAAAAAATGAATGTATAGAATTCTAAGAGCTTCTAGGTTGGCAGACACATCAACGGAAGGGTGACACTTCCCTACCCTACAAGAACAGTAGCTCCTAAATCTGGAAACCTTGCGTATCTCACTCTATGTCCTGCGACATCTGGCTAGTCATTGGTATCTTTTTTTTTTTTTTTTTATAAATGCCCCAAGTCAGGCTATTTATTCTTAAGTTTACCACAGTTTTTTTTTTTTTTTAAGATTTATTTATTTATTCATTTTTTATACAAGCACAGGGTACAGTCAGAAACACGGGAGGGTGAGAGAATTCACCAGAGCCAGAGCGGGGAGCAGAACAGGCAGACTGAGGAAGTCTGCTGAGTGGAACAGCAGGTGCAGCAGGAGAGATCTGCCCACCATGTGGGACCCTCACTGGAGGCCGGGGATCTAACTGGTGCTGCAGAGGCTGCGGGCAGCTTCGCAGCCCAGTGCTCAACCACTGTGCCACCGGGGAGGCCCTTCATTGGTATCTTTTGTCATATCTTTTATTTTACTTAGTAAATGTGTATCCCTGGGTTCTGTGAGCTATTCGAGAAAATCATCAAATCTGAAAAGTCTGTGAGAACCTGGTTTTATAGTCAGTCATTCAGAAGAACAGATGACAGTCTGGGGCTTTGAATTGCATCTGAAGTTGGGACAGTCTCATGGGGCTGAACCCTTAACTTGTGAGATGTGACACTAACTGCAGGTAGTGTCAGAACTTTGAATTGTAGGACACCTAACTGGTGTTGGAGAACTGATAGTGTAAAAGACTGCACTGCTCCCCCCCAACCCCCCCCCAACTCAATGTCTGCTCACAACAGTGTTTTTTGTGAGTGTATAAAGGAAAACTGAGTTTTCCTAGATAATCTTCCTTACTGAATTCATTTCTTGGGCAGGGATGATTTTACTTGTCAGGGATATTTGGTAATGCCTAGAGAGATTTTTTAGTTGTGCTTTAGAGTGCATTTCAAAGTCACATGTATCCCTTTACAAGTTGTAAGAGTTGAAGATTTTTTCTATAGGTAACAAAGATATTCACAAATATACATGTATCTATATATTTTTTACATCCTTTCACATTCACATGGTTTACTAAAACTGGTAAATACTCATAAACTCAAAAAGACAAATTCAAATATTTTTCACTCCATAGGAATTGAAAAATGAAATAATATTCATCTCATCTGGACTCTGCCACCTCACTCTGTCTCTGAAAATAAAAAATATTACAAAAAAACACAAAGCCCAAGGTGAGGGCATATTTGTCACATGGAGTCTAACAGTGACTTCCAACACACTTGTGTGGGGACATTGGCTAGGTGACCAGTACTTTGTTACTAGCTAATAAACTATCAATGTTTTAATGTGCTTTACTCCTCTTTTTTTTAAACTAGAGAGATGTCAACATTACTCACATTTGTTTGAATTCACATATTATTTCTTGAAGAAAATATAATGGAGGTAAAAAAGTACTAGAAATGCTCTTAACCTGCATAATTGCCATAGAAGTATGTGATATGAAAACCACTCTGCTGGGAAAACTTATCATTTAAGTGGTGAGGTTGGACTTTAATATACTTAAATAAAAAGAGTAAGGAAAAATCATCTATTTTTTGATAACATAATTTGCTACAATACATAGCTAAAAAGTAATGACACTGACAATAATTTTTAAAGTAACCTTATCTGTGGTTACAATTTATACTAGTTAAAATAGTTCAAATTAGTTTGAAAGTTTAAAAAGACAAAGTGTAACAGAGATGATTATTCAAGATTTAATAAATTATTAAAATCAACTTACTGGGCCTGTAACAATTGGTTTTATAGTCTGAACACCAGCAGAAGAACAACGCAACTCTGTCCGAGGTGAGCTAGCATTTAAAAAACAATGGGAAAGGAGGAATAAGTACAGATGCATACAACAGTAGTAGAAATCCCCCTATTACTTTTTAACTTTCAAAACTGCTGTCAGCTAATAATAAAAATTTTAAAATAACATTATTTTACTTCTGTTTTATTTTCAAAGCTATTTTTATTTCTTTTCACATCTATTTAATGAGAAGAAATTTACCTTGAATTATAACCTTGAATCTAAAATTCCACACTACATGAATGCTTTTTTCAGATGTAAATATATATATATATATATATATATATGTTGACATTCATTGCAAAAATCTTACCTTTTGTCTTTTATAGAGCAAGTCTGTGGCACACTCCACTCAGAAAATGATGTTCCTTCATATTCTAACTTAATCTAAAAAGAGAAGATAAAGTAGTTCAAACTAAAAATTTTCTCCCATATTTTCATTTCATTATTCAGGTATAGAGTATAATTTTTCTGGGTCCTCATAACTTAAATAAAGAATAACTAAAATATGGTTCTTTTGAAATTGTACAGAGTAGTACAACGAAGGAAAAGTAACATTTCCAGGACACTATACTTTGACAATGTATCAAAACATAACATTGAAGCATTGACTAAAGAAGGTAATTGAAAGTATTTGGGCTTGATAGGCTAGTCTCAGACATTATCTTTGGAGAGAAGGTGAAAGGAGAGAAACCTTTTGGAGTGAAAATGTTGAAGGGGAAGAGAATCAAGAGAGAGAAATTTAAAATATTAAAAAAAGATAAAAAACAGAATAAAACACTTCAACAAGAAGCTCTTGATTAAGGAAACTTTTTTTTAAGATTTATTTATTTTTTATACAAGAGCTGGGGTACAGGCTGGATGTACGGGAGGGTGAGAGGATTCACCAGAGACAAAGTGGGGAACAGAACAGGCAGACTGATGAAATACACTGATGAGGGGAGCAGTGGGCGCAACAGGAGAGGTCTGCTCTGGAGGCCATACTGAGTAACTGCCTCCTTTAAAGTCTTCAAATCTTTAACAGATGTGGGAGATAAAATTTCAACCTTATGTCCTCCCCGGAATCCCCATGAACCTCTGGGGACGAGATATTCTGGTGGAGATGGGGGCTTCATTAGTCACGGATTGTCCAGCTGGCCAAATGATGATTAATCAGGGCTACGTGCCTGGACAAGGTTTGGGTAAACAACAGCAAGGGTCTCCCTCTTTTAATCTACAGGAAGTGACGAGGGAAGCGGGGGATAAACGAGGGCTCGGTTACCCTTTTTTCTAGGGGCCGCTGTGATTAGGCCTCCACCCGCGCCCATTCCTATCACCTGGAAATCTGACACACCTGTGTGGGTACCACAGTGGCCCTTGCTGAAAGAGAAGTTAGAGGCCACAAGAATGTTAGTAGAAGAACAGCTACAGGCTGGACACTTAGTCCCATCTACCTCCCCCTGGAATACTCCCATCTTTGTTATCAAAAAGAAGTCCGGAAAATGGAGACTATTACAGGACCTTAGGGCAGTGAATGCGACTATGGAGATTATGGGACCAGTGCAACCTGGCATTCCCTCTCCAAGTGCCATTCCACAAGATCATTATATCTTTTTTTTTTTTTTTTTAATAGAGGCATGCTTTATTTATTTATTTTACTTGTTTGTTTGTTTGTTTATACATGCACTGGGTACAGTCAGAAGTGCGGGAGGGTGAGAGAATTCACCAGAGCCAGAGCGGGGTGCAGAGCAGGCAGAAGGACCGAAGTACACTGCTGAGGGGAGCAGCGGGCGGCAGAAGATCATTATATCTTGATCCTAGATCTTAAGGATTGTTTTTTCACTATTCCATTACATGATCAAGATTCCAAACACTTTGCTTTTTCTATTCCGGCCATTAATGCTGCTGCTCCGCATGATAGATATTAATGGGTGTGCCTTCCTCAGGGTATGGTCCCACTATTTGCCAAATTTATGTCTCCAGAGCCATTGCTCCTGTTAGAGTCAAACATTCACAAGTGCATGTATATCATTATATGGATTTGTTACTGGCAGCTCCCACATCTGACCTGCTGTATGCCTGTTCCCAGGACCTGGAGAATCATTTACTGATGTCAGGTCTAAAGATTGCTCCTGAGAAGTTACAAATGGCTGAGCCTTTTCAGTATTTAGGATACCATTTGAGTAAAGGCAGTTATGCTCCAGCAGTACCAAAATTGGCAGTAGCTCACCTTCGCACCTTGCATGATTTCCAACACCTATGCAGTGATCTAACATGGATACGCTCTTCGCTCTCTATTACATCGGGAGAGTTGAAGCCTCTTTTTGACATGTTGAAAGGAGATGCAGACCCCGCATCTCCTAGAGCCATTACACAGGAGGTTCGTGAAGCAATCACTAGAGTCGAAAAGGCTCTAGCCCAGGTGACCTTAAATAGGTTGTCTGTCTCTCGTCCTTTTGATGTCTTGGTATTTTGTAGTAACCTTACTCCCACAGCGCTTATATGACAAGATGGAAGGACCAGGTCAATAATGAGTGGCAACGACCCGCGCCAGTATTAATACAGCTGCCTGGCAGCATTTGTCTTTTCCCACAGGATGCGGAAGCACCCCGATGGGTTCCTGCTCGATTGGTTCGGTTTGTCAATACACCCGACCCTGCTAACCTTGATGACACAAGCATCCCAGATGTCAGTACGATGGGCGATTGTGCATCAGCTGCCAATGTTGCTTCTGCTTTACCAACACCGCAAGATATGAATGGACATTTATGAAATGGACTTTTTATGCTTAGTCAGCAGTTAGCTCATGTAAGAAGAGATAGACACACTTTTGTTAACTGCTCACATACCTTGTAACCCTCTGTACAGTTTTATTTGTGTTACCCATGTTACGGGTGAGGGTGTCATTGCCTTGTTTAGAGGACTCCTCTCAGAGTTGCAAGCTTGGGGCAGGGTGATAGCCTTAGCTCTTGGCTGTTTGTGCCTTCAGTGTATGGTTTCTCCGTCAGCTATGGAAGCGAAACAAAGAACGTGCTATTGCGGTCAGGCAAGTACTTGGCGCCATGGTACTTGACCAGGACTCCCCAGTGGCATCCGGATGGGTCAACTTAGCCCTAGAGAACCTGTGAGCCAAAGACAGGTAAGAGCGTAGCCCGTCCAGACCAACCTAAGACAGCGGTCCGGACCAAGTGCGCCGGATTAGCGATGACGGGTAAGGTGGTTACGGGATATGCCAACCTAAGACAGGCCAGGTGTCTCATTTAAAAGAAAAAAGGGGGAGATGTCCGGAGCCGCCTGGGGCATGCGTAGTGTTGCGCATGCGCGCGATAAGTTAGGTTTCGATTCCTGTTTCGCCTTCTGAGAAACCTCTGCGTTTCCAGTAAATCACGTGGGACTGGGAGGTACGATGGGAGGAGCTACGAGGGTATAAGAAGGGAACCACGGGAGAGAGCGGAGAGAGACTGGAGAGACTGCGTAGAGGATAAGGAGAGAGACTGCGGGGACTGCGTAGAGGATGGGGCAAGGAGACTTCGAGAAGGAGACTGTGGAAAGGATACTGTGTAGAGACTTTGAGAGAGGATACTGAGAAACGTACTGAGAGAGGAGCATAGAGAAGGCCAGGGAAGGTAGTAGGACAGGGAAAGGAAAAAACATGTAAAAGTAGGAAAAGGAAAAAGGAAAAATAAAGAAGCAACCGCTAGCGGCAAGTCGTCTCAAGCCCCTCATTTCAATCCTCAGCCCTTCTCTTTCCGTGCCTCCGAATCCCGCGGGTCGGGACAGTTTACTCTTGGCTCTTTTGTCATATTAACTGTCCATATAAATGTGGGTTTAATTTTGGGCTCTTGATTCTATTCCATTGGTCTTTGTGTTTATTTTTATCCTACTACCATTCTATTTTGATTACTATAGCCTTGTATAGTAAAGCTTGATGTTTTGGAATGTAATATTTCCACTCCTCTTCTGTTTTGGTTGATTGCTTTGGCTATTCAGAACCTTTGTGGTTCTATATAAATTTCAATAATGCTTGGTCTATTTCTTTGAAGAATTCCACTGAAACTCTGATAGAAATTGCATTAAATCTATATATTGCTTTGGGTAAGGTGGACATTTTAATAATGTTAATTTTTCTAATCCATGAGCATGAAATACTTTCCATTTCCTTGTGTTTCCATTGTCCTCCTCTATTTCTTTTAACAATGTCTCAGAATTTTCACTGAATAGTTCTTTCACCTCCTTTTTAGACTCAGTCCTATGTATTTAATACTTTTTTTTAAAGATTTATTTATTTATGCATACAAGAACTGGGGTGTAGGCCAGAGATGCGAGGGTGAGAGGATTAACCAGACACAGAGATGGGGAGCAGAACACACAGACGGGGAGCAGATCTACTGAAATACACTGCTGAGGGAGCAGCGGGCGAGACAGCAGAGGTCTGTTGTTGCTTCCTGGCCAGCTCCCTGGCCAGCTGGGAATTGAACTCATGTTGTAGTGGCTGGCAGTAGCTTGATAGCACTGTCTTTAACCCCTGAGCGACCAGGGAGGCCCTACTTTTTGATGCCACCGTAAATGGGATTGTTTTCTAGATTTTGTGCTCTTCCAGTTCATTATTTGTGTATAGGAATGCAACAGATTTTGTATGCTGATTATATGATAAAGTCATAAATGGATGGTGAATCTTGCTAAATGCCTTCTCTGCATATATTGATATGATTGTACTATTTTTGTCTTTTGTTATGGTCAATTACATTTACTAATTTGCATATGTTAAACTATATATACTTGCATGCCTGGAATAAATCCCACTTGGTCATGCTATTTGATTCTTTCAATGTATTGTTGAATTCAGTTTGTTAAGATTTTGTTCAGGATTTTTTTTTAATTTTTTTAAATTTTATTTTTATATTCCCCATATAATTACAACCCCCTTATTTTGACCCCAATCCCTTCTTTCCCCGCCCCCCACCCACATAGTGTCTCTGGTTCACAGTTGTTTGTTGATTTTGATGTTTTCTTTCGTATATTCTTTTTCCTGGTCCCTTATTTAAGTTCTCTAGATTCCTGCTTTGAGTGAGACCATCCAGTACTTTTGTTTTTCTTTCTGGCTTATTTCGCTGAGCATGATCCCCTCCAGCTCCATCCATGTTGCTGCAAATTGCATGTGTTTATCTTTTTTGAATGCTGAGTAATATTCCATGGTGTATATGTACCACATCTTCTTTTTTTTTTTTTAAATAATAAATTTTATTTTTATATTCCCCATACAATTGCAGCCCCCCCATTCTGACCCCAATCCCTCCCCTCCCGCCCCCCACCCCCAAAAAGTGTCTCTGGTTCATAGTTTTTCGTTGATTTTGATTTTCACTTTCTTATAGTTATTCATTTTCCTGGTCCCTTATTTAAGTTTTCTAGATTCCTGCTATGAGTGAGACCATCCGGTATTTTTCTTTTTCTTTCTGGCTTATTTCGCTGAGCATGATCCCCTCCAGCTCCATCCATGTTGCTGCAAATTGCATGTGTTTATCTTTTTTGAATGCTGAGTAATATTCCATGGTGTATATGTACCACATCTTTTTTTTTTTTTTAAATAATAAATTTTATTTTTATATTCCCCATACAATTGCAGCCCCCCCATTCTGACCCCAATCCCTCCCCTCCCGCCCCCCACCCCCAAAAAGTGTCTCTGGTTCATAGTTTTTCGTTGATTTTGATTTTCACTTTCTTATAGTTATTCATTTTCCTGGTCCCTTATTTAAGTTTTCTAGATTCCTGCTATGAGTGAGACCATCCGGTATTTTTCTTTTTCTTTTTGGCTTATTTCGCTGAGCATGATCCCTTCCAGCGCCATCCATGTTGCTGCAAATTGCATGTGTTTATCTTTTTTGAATGCTGAGTAATATTCCATGGTATATATGTACCACATCTTCTTGATCCAGTTATCTATTTTTGGGCATTTGGGTTGTTTCCAAAGCTTAGCTATTGTAAACAGTGCTGCAATAAACATAGGGGTGCAGGTGTTCTTTGGAATTGATGTTTCTGTGTCCTTTGGTGTACCACATCTTCTTGATCCATTCATCTATTTTTGGGCATTTGGGTTGTTTCCAAAGCTTAGCTATTGTAAATAGTGTTGCTATAAACAAAGGGGTGCAGGTGCTCTTTGGAATTGATGTTTCTGTGTCCTTTGGGTAAATACCTAGCAATAAGACAAGAGAAAGACATACAAGGAATCCAAATAGGAAAAGAAGAAGTCAAACTATCACTATTTGCAGATGATATGATAATATACATAGAAAACCCCAAAAACTCCACAGAAAAACTAATTCAACTAATCAATCAGTTCAGTAAAGTGGCAGGATACAAAATCAACATGCAAAAGTCAGTACCCTTCCTATACACAAAAAACAAATCTGAAGAAGAAGAAGTAAAAAAAACATCCCTTTTATTATTGTTCAGGATTTTCACATCTGTGTTCTTCAGAGATATCGGTCTGTAGTTTTCTTTTTTGTGATGTCTTTGTCTACTTTTGATATAAGAATAATGTTGGCTTCACAAAATGTGTTTGGTAGCATTCCCTTTTTCTCAATTTTTTGGGAAGATTTTGAGAAACATATGTATTAGTTCCTCTTTGAAGATTTGGTAGAACTTACTAATAAAGCAATCTAGTCCTAGGCTTTGGTTTATGGGAGACTTTTGATTACTATTTCAATTTCCTTCCTTGTGATTGGTCTGTTCAGGTTTTCCATTTATTCCTTATTTAGCCTGGGAAGGTTGAGGCTTCTAGGGATTTGTCCAATTCTTCTAGATTTTCTAGTTTGTTGGCAATGGATTTCTGAGGTGTCTGCAGTAACTTCTCTTTCATTTCTGTTATTAGAGTTTTATTTTTCTTAGTGATTCCAGGTAGAGGGTTTTTTTGGGGGGGTTTTATGGCACCCCACTTATATCAATGGACAGACAACTACACAAAAAAAAATCAACAAGGAAACAATAGCCTTATGTGAGGAATTAGACTAGACATAACTTCATTGTTATGGTGAACAGCTATCAAATATTAAATGTTTCTAAGCTACATTAAGATAATAAGGGAAAATTGAGAGTTTTAAAGGTGCTTTTTAATTTTTTTAAAAAAGATGAATAAACTTGTCAAGAGAAGAAGAGGGAGTCCATGAATAAATGATATCAGAGAAATAAAATATATACAAATAGAAATAAAAATGGTAAGCAAAGATTATAACAAAATGAATACCCATTAACTTGAAAACAAATACACACATGAAAAGAAAATATAATTTACATAGATTTCTTTGACCTGGTTTGGAATAACATGTATGCAATTATGTAAATATATCAGCGTAGATGAATATAATTACTTTGTAAAATCTTTTTTTTTTAAAGATTTATTTATACAAGCACTGGGTACAGGCAGAAGCACGGGAGGGTGAGAGAATTCACCAGAGCCAGAGGGGAAAACAAAGCAGGCAGACTGACAAAGTACACTGTTGAGGGGAGCAGCGGGCAGCAGGAGAGGTCTGCGCGCCATGTGGGACCCTCGCCTGGTGGTGGCCGGGGATCGAACCAGCGTTGCAGTCGCTGCGGGCAGCTTCGCAACGTAGTGCTCAACCGCTGCACCACCGGGGAGGCCCCACTTTGTAAAATCTTTTGGTATACTTCCTAAAGCTGAACATATGCATATATCCAATGACTTATCAATTACAGTGTTAGGTATATACCCAACAGAAATGAAGGCAAATGTTAAGTAGAAGGTAGGCATAAGAAAGTTTGTAACAGCTCTAGCAAACTACAATGAAAACAACTTCATTGCTTATCTATAGAAGGACACATATATTCATTGGAAGACTACAGAGCTTTGGGAGTGGACTCCAACCACATGAAATAGCAGGATGTATGCAAGAACAGTCAAATCAACCAATAGGAAATGTCTACATTTAGTGTGAACTCCAGATGGATTTATGGCCTATATTTGAAAGGTAGCAATATAGAGCATGTAAAGGAAAATGTAGGATAAAAATCTTTTCAAGTCAAAGGCAAAGATTTTTCTTAAGGAAGACTCAAAAATATATAAATTATAAGGTGGGGGTGTGGCACATCAAAAATAAACTTTTTTAAAAAATAAGGTATTCATGAGGTTAGATGCAAAACTAGCAAATAAAAACAAGCATTTAAAACCAACATTTGGTAATCATATAGAAGAATACATCTTATTCTATAGATAAACAAGAAAAATTGTCTTACCTATATTTTACTAAATTTTAAACTTTATTATTCTATTTTTAATTATAAAACCAGAAAGTGCTTCACTTTCTATTCCTTTGCCCACCTATACCCCATTTGTTGACTTCTTTATTTTTGTAACATCAAATCTGTTTTAAAAAGTTTTTTACTAGACAAGGTATGTCCAGGGAATGACGTGGGTGCTTGGGCCACAGAACAAGGAAAAGGCACTCCACCTGGTGATTGGCCCTACAAGGCAGCTGAAGAGGGCAGAAAATTAAATGGAAAATGGGCAAAGGGAAGAACAGGCAATTCACAAAAGAGAAGACTGCACAAGTATGGAAGGAGATGCTCAAAATTAGTAGTCATTTGAGAAGTGAAAATAACAAAGCAATAAGTTATTATATAATAATAAGATTGGTGAAAAAAAAAGAAAGTTCAATAATACCAAATTTTGGTGACAACATACACTGGATGAGAGCATAAATTGTGATTGGCATTCTGGAAACAGAGAATGAAGTCTATAGTTTGGATAATCACACATCCTGGTTTGTCTAAACAGTTCTCATACTATATGAATATTAAACCAGAAATTACTTGAAATAACTGCTTATTTTTGCAACACACATATTTAAAGACATTTATGGCAGTTTGAGATTAAATATGTATTAGAAATATAAGTGGGAAGTAAGTGAAATAAAAAAATAAAAGAATGACACTGTGCCATATAACTGAGTATAGTTAACTCTGTTCTCTACTGTAAGCTAAAAAGAGAAAAATTAAACTTAACTATAGTTCAAAAATTAAACACTTACAGTACTCCTGGTATTAAAAATGAGGAAATTTTTGCTGTTAATGGAGTACCTGTGGAAGAAAAGTTAAAATATGAATATTAAAATGATTTCTCCTCCATATAAATAGGAGTCTTTAGATAGTCAAAGCATGCCTGGGCCATCAAGAATTTTATATTTCTGCTCAAGAAGCTTCTAGGCGAGTTTAATCAGGAAAAAATAGGGGATATTAGTGACCTCTGCACGCCACTCTTGTGTCTAGGTTTGTTCAGTTTCTGAAGACACTATAATAAGAAGTAAATACTTTTTCATTATTTTTGTTTTTAGAATGAAAAATTGTTGAAGAATATTGGCTGTAACTTCTTCACTTCTAAACTGAGTTAAAATGAATAGATTGAATATTTAAAAAAAACCCTATTTATTTGCGACACTGAAGAGCAAATTTCTGTCAGTATTATTCATTATCATCACTCTATTATCCAGGGTACTTTAATTTCTCTCTATATGATCTAAGGCAGTACAGTCCAAGAGAAATATGTAGGATGCTTATGTAATAAGAAATTTCCTAGCAGCTACATTGAGAAAAAAGCAAGTGAAATTGATTTAATACTATATAAATAAATATTAATATTATCAAATATGATATGTAACTTAGATAAAATTATTATTAAAGAGCTATTTTATGTGTTTTTGCACTAAGTCTTTGAAATCCAGGGTAATTATACATATAAATTCTCAAGTTGGACTAGTTACACTTCAAGTGTTCAAGTCACATGAGGTCAGTAGATATCACAAAAGCTTAAAATTTCTTTACTCCATGTCTACATTAGACACCTAATTGTCATTGTAATTGCTCTCTCTCTCTCTCTCTCTCCCTCTTTCTCTGTGTGTGTGTGTTAGTGTGTGTGTGTGTGTAATTATGGAATGGCTGGAATATCATAATGTAAATCTTTTACATAATAATACAAGCTTCAATAGTGTTCAAAATTCTTATTTTTAACAGATGTTAGTCATCAGTATTATAAAACAAGTTTTATATAATACAGAACAAATATGAAAACATTTATGTATCTTATATATTCCTACAAATAAAAATATATTCATCAAAGATTTTCTTTTCCAAGTAAGTATGAACTATCTCTTATTTCTTATTTCTAATGAATGTTAGATCCCTTAAATGGGGAAACATTAATGTCATTCCTTTAAAAGTCTGGAATGAGAGAAGGATGCTACCATCACCATTCATACTAACATAGTATTGGAGGTCTTAGTTAATGTATAAAGAAACATAAATTAAAAGCATAGGCTTGAAAAGGAGGAAACAGAATCCAATTTTACAGAAGATCTAGAGATACACATCTTAGAAATATGACTGAACTTTTGAGGTTAGTATAGGGGAGAGTAGGGATGGGAGATCACAATTTGATGCTTGGTATGATTAATATCATATCAAGCATCTACTCTGATTACAATGGTATCAAACTAGAAATCAATTACAAAAAGAAAGCAGGAAAAACTTCTAATATGTGGAGACTGAATGACTATTGGTTAAGGAGGAACTCAAAGAAATAATTAAAAAATACCTCAAGATGAATGAAAATGAGGAGACAACCAACTAGAACATGGGACATAGCAAAACAATACTAAGATGGACATATATAGAAATAGAGGCTCACATCAAGAAACAAAGAACACAAATAATCTTACCTCTCAACTGAAGGAGCTAGAAAAGATGAACAAACAAAACTAAAGCCAGTAGAAGGAAGGAAAGAAATAAAAAATAGAGCAGATAGAAATGAAAAGATTAATGAAACCAAAAGCTAGTACTTTGAAAAGATAATATATATATATATATATATATATATATATATATGTATAGACTATCTTTTAGCTAGGTTCTCAAAGGAAAACAAGACCAAAAAAATCAAATAGAATCAGAACAAAGGAGAAGTTACAATTAACATCTCAGGAATTCAGAGAATTGTAAGAAATATTGTGAATATTTGTATGTTAGTAAGTAAACAACCTAGAAAAGAAGAACAACTGCTTAGAAATGTATAAATATCCAGGGTGGATCAGGAAGAAATAAGAAACCTGAATAGACCAATTGCAAGCAAGGAAAATGAAACAGTCATCAAATAGTTACAGAACAGAATGAAGACCATTCCCGGAACCTGCCTGCTCTAAGAAGGTTCTATCATCTGCTGCATAAAGACAAAACATACTCTCGTGCATAAGACCTTCAATAGAAAAGAACTTTAATTAGTGTGTGATATAGACAGAAGAGAAAGAACATAGTTCAAGATAGTTTCCAATTAAGCACCCTATGTTACCCATTCCCTCATGGGTAAATGCCCAGCTAAATAGGGTTGGCCCAAAGCAAGGCCACTGAGGCCCAAAAGCCTGCCACAAGTCTCAGACACCTTCTGGTGGGGACCGATAGGAAAAGGGCAGAAGGGGCCTGGCAAGTCTGGAAGGAAAAGAACAAAATCAAAATCAAAATAAAGGTTAACATTGTCAGCCTCCCCACGGGTCTCTCACACACATCTCTGTCTCTATCAAGTGTCTCCATGTTGCCCAAGTCCCTGTTACAAGCCCAAAGCCAAGAAGCAAACACAGCTTCTTCTTTACATGTCTCTGTTTCTAGGTCTCCTCTTGATCTCCTTCTTTCCTTCTCCCCATCTTCTCTAGCTTCTCCTCCCTGCTCATCTTCACCCTTCATTGGGTGGGGGGCACAGGGAACCTGGAACAACCTTTCCATGGACAGCACACTATTACACAATGTCTCCCCAAAACTTAAAGTTCGCGACCAGCTGGTTTCACAGTGAGTTCTACCAAACATTCAACGATGAACTAATACCTATCCTTCTCAAATTTCTAATAAATTGAAAAAGAGGGAATACTACCAAACACATCTAAAAGGCCAACATTACCTTGATTCCAAAACTAGATAAATACCACCAAAGGCGAAAACTACAGACCCATTTTTCTGATCATTTATGCAAAATTCCTTAACGAAATCTTAGCAAACTGAATTCAATAATGCATTAAAGGATTATATACCATGACCAAGTGGAATTTATTCTAGAGACACAAGAATGGTTCAACATCTGAAAATCAATCAACATAATTCACCACATAAACATAAGGAAAGATAAAAATCATAGGATCATATAAAGATATACCAAGATATCAAAATATGGCAAGAAAGCATTTGATAAAATTCAGCATTCACGTATGATAAAAACCCTCAAAGAACTGGCTATAGAAGGAACATACCTCAACATAATTAAGGTCATACATGACAAACTCATACCCAGCATTCGCTACTCAATGTTTAAAATAAATCTTAAAAAAATAAACTCAAGGGAGAACAAAAAAGTTCAAAATCCAGTAAAAGGCAGGAAATAATAAAAATTAGATCAGAAAAAATGAAAAAGAAATAAAATAGATAGTACAAAAGACCAATGAAAGTGAAAAGTGATTTATTGAAAACAAATAAAATAGATAAAGTTTTATCTAGGCTTACTAAGAGGGAGAAATCTCAACTAATAGGATCAAAAAGGAAAAAGGAAACATTACAACAGACTGTATGGAAATTTTAAGCATAGTAAGAAATTACTATGTATATTTATATGCAAACAAATTCAACAACTTAGATGAGACAGGCAGATTCTTAGAATGATACAAACCATCCAAGACTGAATAGGAAAGAAATAGAAAACCTGAATAAAATGACAAGCAAGCAAATTGAAACAGTAATCAAAACTCTCCAAAAAAAGAAAACTCCAAGATTATATGGCTTCACAAGCATGAAACCATCTAAACTTTCAAACATTCAAAGATGAATTAATGCCCATTCTGCTCAGATTTTTTCACCAAATCAAGGAAGAAAGAATTCTTCCAAAGATATTTTATGAGGATGGCATTACACTAACACCAAAACTAAAGACAACACAAAGAAAGAACTCTACAGATCAATATCCCTAATGAACACAGATGCAAAAATCCTAATAAAATATTAGCAAACCAAATCTAACAATGCATTAAAAATATTATACAGCACCAGGACCAAGTGGAATTTTATATTAGCAACACAAGGGTAATTTAGCATCTGAAAGGGTAATTTAGCATCAACAAGAAGAAAGCAAAAAAAAAAAAAAAAACCATGATCATATCAATAGATGCAGAGAAAGCACTTGATATGATTCAACATCCATTTATGATGAAAACCCTTGAAAAACTGGGGATGAATTGAACATATCTTAACATTAAAAAGAGCCATAAGTTAAATCCATAGCAAGTATTATTCTCAAAGGTGAAAAGTCAAAAGTTGTTCTACTAAGCTCTGGCACAAGACAAGGATTTCCACTCTCACCATTATTAACCACCGCAGTATTAGAAGTTTGAGTTAGAGCAATTAGGTAAGAGAAAGCTATAAAGGAATCCAAATTCAAAAAGAAAAAGTAAAGCTATCATTATTTGCAGATGATATGATAATATACACAAAGAGCCCCAAAAACTCCACTAAAAACTAATTAAAACAATAAACCAGTTCAGAGAAGTAGAGGAAACAAAATTAACATGCAAACATCAGTTGTCTTCCTATATACAAATAATGAACGAGAAGAAGAAATTAAGAGAGACATCATTACATTAAAATCTCACCAAAAAATTAAAAACCTAACAAAGGAGATGAAGGACACATACAAGGAAAACTATAAAACATTGCTAAAAGAAACAGAAGACAGAAAGAAATGGAAAGACATTTCCTGCTCATGGGTAGGAAGAATCAACATTAACAAAATGGCCATGCTACTCAAAGCAATGTATAGATTCAAAGCAATCACAATAAAAAAATCTCAATGGCATTCTTTAAAAAAATAGAATAAAGACTACTGAAATTCATATGGAACCACAAAAACCCTGAATAGCCAAACCTCTCCTGATTAAAAAGGGGAAAAATGGAGGTATCATATTTCTGGACTTTAAATTATATTATAAAGTCATAATAGTTAAAATAGCATGGTACTGGAACAAAAACACACAGATCAATGGAATAGAATTGAGAGCCCAGAAATAAAATCACACATTTATTAACAACTAATCTATGACAAAGGAGCAAAGTATATATACACTGGAACAAGGAAAACCCTTCAATAAATGGTGTTGTGAAAATTAGATTGCCAAATGCAAAAGAATGAAATTAAAGTGCTATCTCACACCACATATGAAAATCAATTCAAAATGGATAAAAGACTTGAATGTAAGAGCTGAAACCATAAAATACATAGAAGAAAACATAGACAAAACACTCCATGACATAAACTTCAGAAACATCTTTGGGGACTCATTTCCAGCAGCAAGAAGATCAAAGGACAAATAAACAACTGGGACCACGTCAAGTTAAAAAGCTCTGTAACAGTAAAAGAGACAGTAACAGAGAGATGCCATACTGAGTGGCAGAAAATATTTGCACACCATACCCAGAATAAGAGAAAGAATGATAGGGAATATGTACAGAGAGATCATACAACTCAACAGTAAGAAACCTAAACAAAAAGTGGGTAGAACTAAATACACACTTCTCTAAAGATGGTCAAAAGGCATATCAAAAAAGGTTCATCATCACCTATCAGCAGGTAAATGCAAATCAAAACCACAATAAGATACCACTTCACATCTGTGAGAATGGACCATATCAAAATAACCCAGAAACAACAAATGCTGGGGACAGTGTAGAGAAAAAGGAACCCTCTTACACTGTTGCTGGGAATGTAGACAGGTTAGCTCCCGTGGAAAGAAGCCCGGAGATTCCTCAAAAGATTGTAAAGGGATCTTTCATATGACCCAACAACTCACTCCCAGGATTCTACCCAACGAACATAAATATGCTAATTAGAAAGGAAACCTGACTTCCTATGATTATAGTAGCACTATTTACAACAGCCAAGATATGGAAACAACTTAAACCTGCTTCTCCAACACACTCACACACACACATTCACAATGGGATACTACTCAGTCATTAAAAAAGATTAATTCATGCCCCAACATGGATTAAAACTAGAAAAGATCATCCTAAGTGAGGCAGAAGGAGAAAGATAAATACTGGATGGCTTCACTTATACTTGGATATAGAAAAACCAAACAGCAGATGAGACAGATGAAAACTTTAAAATGATTCTTGAGAGCAGACCTTAGATCTGCGGCATCAAAGCGGGGAGAAGGGAGAAGGAGGGAGAAGAGAAAAGAGGTTGGGAGAGGACATCGGAATGGATTACAGTGGAGGACACTGGGTGCTTTGGACAATGGGTGGGAAAATTATGGTGGACACACCTGAGGGAAGAAATCCTGTATTATGGGGGTGGGGGGGGGAAGGATGTAAAATAATGTCATTAATAAAAAAATTAAATTTAAAGAATAATCAAGATTGCAACATTTCTCTAATGTTTTTTCCCATTATCTGTGTTTTATCTGTTGAAAATCTAAGATATTTTGATACGCATTCCAATCAGTTTCTGATTACTGAACAAAAACTTGAATTGAGGATTTCTCAAAATTTTCATTCCCCAAATCAACTCACTCTGATACAGGAATTAAATTTCCATACCCTTATAGTGTTTATATTGTTTACATTTTATAAAGTACTTTCTCACAAATCATTTCGCTAAAAGTACTTAATATAACCCATTAGCACATTATCCTAATAAAGTGACCCCATACCCTATCCCCAATCTCTGGAGATGACTTTTGGGTTTTCATTTTCTCCTCTGGCAAAATAAGGGTTGCAACTGGAGAAAACCGCTTCAAGGATTTATAGGGGCCAATGGTTCAGAGGAATCACGTGAAGGTGCCACGACCCTACTGCGGAAACTTTAGGGATTTTCCAAGACCTTCATTTTCCTCCGTCATTATCTGAAAACTCTCAGAAGGGAGCAGCGGGGCGACGGTGTTAGGGGAGCTGGGGGCGGGATGGAGGTGGCAAGGACAGTGGTGGCCCTGGCCGGGACCCCGAAGAGTGGACGAAGGGCTGGGTCGACGCCCGGCCAGCCCCAGGGAGGACTCCTGCCCAGTGTCCCCATCTCTCTACCTCCACAGGGCCAAGCCGCAGCAGCTCAGCCAGGACAGCAGCAGCACCACTCCCCGGGCTGACATGGCGTCTGCCTCCGCCCAGCAGCCCTGCCCGCGCCGGCCCTGGCTCAACGGCTCCGGGAGCCGCGCCGGTGCCGCAGCCCGGGCGAGGCGTGTGCGCGTGCGCGCCAAGCGCGCGGCTCCCTGGGCCCCCTGGGCGCTTGAAGGTTGGGCACTAGGGAAAGTGTAAACAAGACTTCTTTTTTGAGTGAAAAAGCAAAACCACTTAGGAAAATCCAAGTTGACTGGAAGGTGAAGTGTTTAAGTTAGTGTACCTTAGCCCCAATGTTGTGAGGACTACATCACCACGACGACAGCAAGTGTATATCTGGCAGTGCTTTCCAGGCATTCCACAAATGATTTATAAGTTGAACAGAAATGAAAAGCAATTTGTGGGCCTCCCTGGTGTCGCAAGGGGGTAAGCACCGCACTGTGAGGCAGTCCAAAGCACGAGTTCGATCCCCAGCCGGCCAGGGAGCAACCCACATGGCGCAGCAGACCTCTCCTGACTCACCCACTTCTCCCCTCAGCAGTGTATTTCAGTCAATCTGCCTGTTCTGTTCCCCACTCTGTCTCTTGTGGGTCCTCTCACCCCCTGCATCTCTGGCCCAGCTCTTGTATGCATCAATAAATAAATCTTAAAAAAAAAAAGCAATTTGTACTTGAGCACCTATGTGTGCCTAACACTACTTCATACATGGGAGTACAAAGAAATATGACAAGTATTCTGGTTTGACAGAGGGGTTTGTAATCTTGTGGTAAAGACAAGATAAAGCAGTTGTCACATTATATTATAATTGATCAGTTTACTTGTCTGTAGACTAAATCATCTGAATCCTTCAGAGCTGCAATTCTATTTTTATTACTCCTTAGAGGATCAATGTCCAGCACAATCTTCCTTTGTAGTAGGTTCTCAATGTTTATTGACTTAATGAATCACTGGGAGAAAAAAAGTAAAATATTAAAATGTGGTCTAAGCCCTATTAGATAACATGACTGAGAATATGATTTGGAAGACAGTACATTTAATGAGACCCTATGTCCACTTTTCCCAGTAGCAATTTTACATCAGAATTCGATGTCATAGTTAATTTGCATTGAATCTAATAAAGCATTAGATCAGCAGTAGGTATACTCTGGACTCTGCCGTTAACACTTTAAAAGAAGTGGAATATACAAAAGAGCCTGGACTCTGGACTCAGACTGTCCAGGCACAACTCAGTACTCACCAGAGCAAATTACTTAACTTTTAAATCCTGTAAAATAAGGATAATGTTGAGACAGAGTAAGATAAGCACCCGGTAGGTTTCCACTGGTAGAAACCCCCAACCAAATCCCATAACAGAGGAAAACACTTGCTGATCAAGGAGAAGACAATAAAGAGAAAGGGGGTGGGGACCCTGAAACTGAAGCAACTGATTCAGCATGAAGTCAAAAGCCCAACTATTAAGAATACAAAAAGTAGCCCCCCAAAAAGGACCTCATGGATATCTCACTGAGATTCCCTCCCCTGCGGGAGTTGTACTCTACTCTCTTTCTCTTTAATAAATTCCTAACTTCTTTACATCACTGAATTTCTGTCCTTCCTTACTGATGGCTGTGGCAGCTTGCTTCATTCTTCGAAGTTCAAGCTTCCAGGAACTCATTTGGGTAGCTGTGTGGAGCTTCTGGGCTTCAACATTCTCATAAAGTCGTGAGAACTGAAACACTAAAGGCATTACATTATCTGGCATGGACTATATGACAGAGGTAATTCATTCCTACTCTGTGAGCCTGGTTCTGATGTATAAAATGGAAAAGGTTAGGCCTCCATTTGATCTCTAGATTCTCAAGTCTAATGTCCTCTACTTAGTCTCTTTACTTTGGAGTTTGCCCTTTTTGATTGCTCTCTCCATCTCTGACCTTTACTTTTCAATTCTAAACTTCTATTTCCAACTCCATTCTTTTTGTATCTTGAAATTTCAAGTTTACACTTTGCCCACACTCTCTCACTCCTTAATAAAAATCAAATCTTCAAAAAATGTTGAAGCGTAACGCTTCCAGAGACCGAAACCTGCAGATGGCGGACTCCATAGCACCGCAATACGTCCCTTGATCCCGGAGCATTGCCTGCCGGGAGTTGTAGTTTCCCGCTTGAGCACGCATCTCCGCGCCTCTCCAGTTTGAAAAGCGAGAGGAAGGGTGGGTAGGCGGGGCGTTAAGGTTAACGCGCGCTCTAAGCCCCGCCCCTACCCCTTCCGCTCCGGGGGCTGGCCCTGGCGCGGCGCGACGGGCCGCGGAAGGGGCGTGGCCTGGGTCCGGCTGGCGGCGGTTGTAGCCGCCAGGCCCGCCTCCTCCCGGCGGAGCTGCGGCTGCCGGCCTGCGCGGGGCAGTCATGGTCCCCTCCTGAGTGGGCCCTGGCGGAGAGAGGGGCGGGGCCTGGCTGGAGGGTGGTGGCCGGGCGGGGGCGGGGGCGGGGCCGGCCTCTGGCTTCTTCTTCCTCCGCATGTGGCTGGCGGCCGCAGAGCAGCTCGGTTCGCGCACTGGTCGCCGCCCGCGTCTCCTCTGGGCTCTCCTCGCGTCACCGGGGCCATGGCGTTCGCCGAGACCAACCCAACGGCATCCTCCCTCCCCAACGGCGACTGCGGCCGCCCCAGGGCGCGTCCCGGGGGGAACAGGGTGACGGTGGTGCTCGGCGCGCAGTGGGGCGACGAAGGCAAAGGGAAGGTGGTGGATCTGCTGGCGCAGGACGCCGACATAGTGTGCCGCTGCCAGGTGAGGCGACCGGGCTCCGACTGAAGCCGGGCCGGGGCGCTGGGGCCCAGAACCCGGATCCACTTTCCAAAATAAGGTGTCACCTTGAGGTTCTCGTCCGTTGCCGCGAACTGCGGCGACACGGAGGAATGGCGGGAGGTCAGAGCCCCCCGACCCGGGGTCTCGAGTCGAGGGTCTGGGGTGGCTCTGAAGGAAAATTCGGGTGAGGGAGCGCCTTTGGGATGCGCGATGCCGGGGGAGTTGAATTTTTCGCCCCGGGGACGGCGCTCAGCTCCAGTACTTGGGCCAGGGTGGGGTGGGTTGTGATCGGAGTTTGAGGAGCTGCCGCCCAAGGCCTGCTTGCGGCACCGAGCGCGGCCGCAGACCCTTCCCATCACCTACCCACCGAGGTTTCCCAGTGGGAGTGGATTGTTCCGAAACGCCTTGAAATCCACACTCACCTGCCTGCAGGCCCTGAGCTTGTAGAGCTTTGCCTCCACGGGTCCACTTTGTTGACATGAAATTTGGACTGTTGGATGACCCGGGTGTTTTATTCAGTATCCCGCGTATCAGTATTAAGGAGAGATGATTTTTACGTGGGTTCCCGGAGGAAGGAATCCCAGCTCTTTTACGAGTGAGGTCAGTAAACTGATGGATGTCAAACCTGGTATTTAGAGATATTTACATTGTTACTGTTACTCTCACATTGAAAGTGAACTTTCTCGGGAAATGGAGTGGTAACGTACTTCCTACCGGGGAGACACGTGGTTATCAGTGTAAGCTTTCTTCCTATTTGTAATTTGCTTTGAAGCAGCCTGGAGGCTAGGTCTTTGTAAAGGCTCTTAAGATAACTATTACCCATTTCAAAATACGAAATAGTTGAGCAATAACCGCTTTCAAAACAAAATGGGATGTAATATTTGAATTCCTCTCTGTTTAGGTCGCAAGACTGCCTCTTCATGAATGTGTGTGGTTCAGTATGATGATTCCATGCTCTATATGTTCTAACAAGTTAGTAGGCCCACTTGATTGGAAGCTTTCTACATAAAATTGAATGTCATTTGAGCATGCAGATCCAAGGTCAACTCAGGAACATAAAAAAACTAAATGCAAGTATTCCCAGACTAGTGTTTTTGCATGCAAAAATTCACACTGTGCATTTCTTAACTAAGGTAACTGTCACACCAATTGCCAGTTGTACTACCACTAGCACCACCTCCACATCTTCCTTCCAACCTTCTATTCCTCCACCCCTCTCTTTCTTAATGGCACTCCTAGAGATGTTGCCATTGAGTTGCTGCCCTATACTACCTTTGGAGCTGGCCCAGAAGCCCAACTTTCACCTTCCTTTTCCTCTTAGATTTCACCATACTGTAAGGGAAGAAGTATGAGAATACCTTACTCTAGCTGCATAGAGAGGGAGAGAGACTGTGGTCTTTTTCTCTCCTTCACTCTGTCATTCTTGACATCTCCTTTACCTGGAAATAGTAATACTCAGGTTGAATTACATTATGGTTTGTAAGGGCTTTGGGAGTGTAACCTTTAAAGTGTTTATTCCAAAATATCCTCAATTTTAATACCTCTGTGAAAACTAGTAGATTAAGTTCGTAGTGTGGAAAAGGTGTTATTACATAACTGAAAGTAGTCTTGAAGGTGGTTATAGGCCCGTTTGAAGTGATGCCCTTGGAAAGTTAAGAGAGAGGTGACTGAGAAGGAGCCAAGTTTAACTTTAAAATGTTGGCTGAAGATAGAGGAGAAACAAGAACAGACTTCTTAGGCACTTTCCTCACCTGTAAGCTTTTTACCTTTCCTGTATAATTCTGTATAATTACCTTTCCTGTATAAGTTTTTTATATTCTAGTGCCTCTTAAGAGCTGTTCATTAGGAGGATTGTTAGTTATGTTAGTGAAAAGTAGATTGAGTAATAAATAGGTCACTTGTGTTTCATTTTGGTGACTTCTTATTTGGTCAGTCTTAGTAAGCTGACATCTCCTTAATGAAGTTCTTAATGAAGACTGCAGCGTGTTGAAATTCTTAATGACTTTATAGAGAACTGGGAAAAGTCAACATTAGAAAAGACATTTTGGAACTTAAATTGCCTTGTTTGATGTTGGAGTATTAAAATACATACTTTGTTAGAGTTAAATAGGTGAATTTTTTTTGTCATTAATGCCATGAACTCAAATTTTATCCTATTGCTTTTCCAGAAGCAGTGCATAGAATGTATCCATATTTCAACAAGAGAATCATAATTTTAGGAACTTCTTCCAATGTAAAATTCAGTTTTAAAACATTACTTTACTTTTAACTATGCTTTCATAAATGCTCTTTTTGCAAAGAAAAATGCAAAGCTAATGGCATTTTCATCGTAGCAGTTAAGGAGAACTATATCTTTCATATTCAGGATTTATGAAAAGTTGTTTATAATTTGGTAGCTACTCTGATCATAAATGAAGTTGTAAAGAACTTGCATCAAAGGAGGACCACTACCAACGCCTTAATTTTTAATCAGTATGTCTTATAAGGAAAGGAAGAATTAAATATAGAACCTATTCCAGGTACACTTCATTCAGAAAGCATGAATATTTCCAGATTCCCAGCATTACATTTAAAAAAGCAGGATGGTGACTGCCAGGAGTTTACAGTCTTGTGGACAACTGCAGTGTAAATAAGTATTGCCAGGGAGGGCATGGAGAAGGACAAGTATAGGATTTTAAAAGGGTAAATGTATAGGAATAGGAAGGCCCCTTTCTGCCAGCACAGTTGTAGCTCTGTTAGGGAACCTGTTACTGCCTTCCTTCCCAAATTACCTCAAAGTAAACAATTCATTTCCTTTGTTTTGTTTTGTTGTTGGTTTATTGCAGTTTCATTGAAGTTATATGAGTTTCAGATGCATCCTTTATTTTGTTGATTAGAAAGTAGAGATTGTAATTCTTGCAGTTTATACCAGGCCTTAAGCAAGGGCTTACTTATTGTTACTGGAGAAAGAAAGCTTGGTACTTTTGCCTGCAATGATAGGTATAAAATTGCCTGTGATCAGGAAAGCTAGTACAGTATTTTTGTTGTTCTTTTCCTCCAAGATTTTAAAGTTAATGTCAAGAGAAAATTTTAACTATAGTTAATTATTAAGGAAAACTATCATATTACTTGGTATATAATAAAAGTTATATATAAGGAAAAGTTATATATCAGGTGTCTGTATTAGGAAAGCTCCAGAATAGTATCCCCTTTCTTCGTTGTTTTTTCCTCCAGGATTTTAAAGTTAGTTTAAAGAGAAAATATTAACTACAGATAATTATGAAGGAAAACCTATATCCTTTTACTTGATATAAAGTAAACATTATGATAAAATGTTAATTTGTAGCTAGATATTGCTGGTATCTGCTGAAGGCTCTGAAACCACCTATTAGTAAGTAATAAAGAAGTATAAAAGACATACCAGCAAACTGACTTTTCTGCTTAAAATAGAAAGGTTGAAAGATAATTTAAAAGATTACAACTTCAATGATGTTTGCTGCTTTGCCGTGTACAGCTAAAATTATCTCCCAAACTATTTCCCATAATTTTGAAGATGGTATGAGAATTAGTATTTAAGATAAAATAGTCTTCTGGGTTATAACTGGCTATTTCCTTACTATCAGAGCTGCTTTTTACATTGTTTATACCATTTCCCACGTACTTAACTGTATACTAGTGTGTGGTATACTTGGTTGAATCTTGTTTTCTACTAAGTATATATACTAGAATATAAATTTTCTCAAAAAGAGAACTTGTTCCTTTCTATTTTTTTTCCATAGCACCTAGTATTATGTTGAGGCAGAGAGGAAATAAATACTCAAAATATTTATTGTGTGGCTGGGCTGGATGACCCTTAGAAATTTCTTTGAAATCAGTCCTCTAAATTATTTTAACATCTCCTTGGCCAATTTAATTGACTGTTGGCATGAGTTAAAGTGGATGCCCCAGCATTACTGGGATTAATATTTGTTACTTAGTATTTTAACGAGTGTTTTTTGCTTTATGCCATTATGGTCAAAGGCTTTAATAGTGGGCTTTAATAGTGCAAAATCTTATCTCTTGTATCTGTAAAACAAAAATAACTGATACTTGGTTTTTGATTTTTTTTTGTTGTTGTTGGTTTGTTTGTTTTGTGTATTTCCTCACCATGTTTTAGGGCAATAGATCTTAAACTTTGGCTAGTAAGGATCTTCCAAGTTTACTGTTTAAGCCTGTTATACTAGTGTATATGATAGACCATTATTTCTACTTTTAGGTATGATTATTTTTAATTATATGAGTTTATTGCAGTGGTTTCTGATCAGTATTATTCTGGTTCTTTAATTTTGGTGGAAATGGGTACATTAGTTGCGTAGTTTCATTAAATTCTCACCAATAAGTGAAGACTGGTGACTATTAGAATACTTTTATCTATGGAAAAGGGGACATTGCCTGACAAGAGCAATTGAAAAGAAGAGTAAATAGAGGGCAGTTCCCATGAGAACTCTGGCTCCAGGATGGGATGGTTCTTTATATTGACCCAATCTTTAATTATATTTAATTCAGTATAATAGAATTTTTTAAAAAACTGAAGGTCCCATGAAATTTTTTTAAATGGGATTTTTGTCCATCAAACTTTTAAAGACCTTTTAAAGGAAAAAAATATTATTCGTGGCAAAACATTTTTTGACTTGAAATCTGCAATTCAATTTCAATTGTTTTTAAGGAAATATCTTCATAAATGTAATAATTTATGCAATTTATCAAGCATTACAGAGAGCAACAAAACATCATTGGTTTTTTTCTTTATTTTATTTTATTTTATTTTTTGCTTGCAAGTCTGATTCACCTTTCTGTGACCCTTGTTTAGTGAATGTGTTCACTGGAGTTTGTTAGAATTTAAAGTTTCTTCATTAGAAACCCCATTTTCACTTTGAGTGTGAGAAGTTGTTTCATAATGGTAATTTAAGTTACAAAATACAGGGTACCTGAGATTTTCTTCATTTGTGTGACATTTCTCTATA